GCTGGAAAGTGCAACACTTCCACTTCACATGCTTTAATGTTTGATTCTTCTTTCAGACTTTTATTGTCTCAGAGACTTCAAGCTGCATATTGATGTTGATTTAATGAGCTTCATGCTGCTAAACGTGTTTTTATTTACCACATTGTAAAAATAATTTAAAAAAAGTCTTGCTCACTTTGAAACTTTCAACTCCTTCGTGTTGCTAAATTCAAAAGTCTGATCTTTAAGTTAACACTTAAAGCTTTCTTTTGAGACAATCAAATTTAATTCCTCATTAATATATTATTTTGTAATGAATATATTATTTATGTTTTAATTGAATGGCTCCCTATAGGAGTATCCTTAGCAACTGAGCCTCTTAATTTAGACCAACAAGCGACTTTGTGAATCAGACTGCTTCATCTCCTGAGGAGACTTATCACTGCTGAAAGTTAAAAGAATAAAATCAAAAGTTAAATAAGTTTCTGGATTATGATATAATCAGTTCAGTGCCTCTGGACTGAGTTGAAACGTCAGACTCTTTCTGCTCTCTGAGAGCACTTAGAGCAGCAGGAGTCCAAGAACAACACTGTTACATTAACGTTGCTTTGCTCGAAACCTAAAACATACAAAAGAAAATCACATTCTGCGACAGCACAACGAGATTTGTAAAACTGCTGGTTCCCCACTGTCATTCAAATATCCCAATAAAAACCAGTAAATGTTTACTTGATGTGACACATCCACAGTTTCATTGTAAACAAGTCTTGACTTTAAATATTGTACAACAAGGCTCAGGGACAACTTGAATCAATGCAGATGTCATTAGTGAAGTGTAAGTATAAAAAGTACACAAGTCCGTAAGTGTGTGACAGTCCCAATCTGGAAGTTTGACCATAGGAAAGATTTTCTGGGTGGAACGCGAGCATGAGCACAAATTCCAGCCGTGAATATTTTGTGCTTGTAAATCAGACTGCCTAGTTGTGAATTAAGTTTTGTAAACTTGCAAAGTAAAATGTTTGAGAATTTCTGCTTTGAGCATGCGTCAATAGGAATGTGTGCGTGTAAACAAGATTTGCGTTTGCAACAAGTAAGTTACGAAATTCTTTTTTGTTAAGGTCTGTTCACAGATACGACGCAGATGGAGATTATGGAGGACGGCACCAGTGTTTCTGCAGCTCATGTAGGCATTACGTTATAGTTTAGTGGGAGAACAAAAAGCTAAATCATTGTCAAGATACATATTTTGAAAATCAAGTTCAGTAGCGGTGGTATGGTGGTGCAGGTAGTAGAGCTGCCGCCTCTCAGCGAGAAGGTCGCTGGATCAAATCCCAGCCAGGAGGCCATTCTGTGTGGAATTTGCATGTTCGCTCCGTGCATGCGTGGGTTTTCTCCGGGTACTCCGGTTTCCTCCCACAGACCAAAAACATGCATGTTAGGCTGATTGGTAACTCTAATTTGTCCCTAGGTGAGAGTGAGCAAGTGAATGGTTTTTGTCTCTGTGTGTCCCTGTGATGGACTGAAGACATGTCCAGGGTGTCCCCCGCCTCCCACACAGTGATAGCTGGATATGGTGTTGGGCACCAGTGACCCATAAAGGAAGAAGCGGGTAAAGATAACGGATGGATGGACGATAGGTGCCGTCCTCCAGCTTCAAAAATGTACTGTCCTTCCAGGACCTGCAGTTTAGTGAAGTGTCACCCCGACAGCCCAACCCATCTGTTCTCCGATTGGACTGTTAAATTGGCATGACATTGACTAATCAGCTGAGAGGAAGAAACATCCCCCGTCATAATTTGCACATCCGATTTGAACCTCACATGCAAGTTATGCAACTTGAGTGCAGTTTTACACCTAGATTTTTGCTTTTTATCTGTAAACAAACTCTTAACAACAACAAAAAAAACTGTAACTTGTGTAATTCTTTTTTTTACAAATAAAGTACAAATCTTTTTTTTACATGCACACATTCTTATCTACACATGCACAAAGCCGAAACTCTCAGCTGTTTTATTTTACAAGGCTACAAAACTTAGTTCATGACTACGTGGTCTGATTCACAAGCACTGCCCATACATGAGACCTGCAGCTGCTGGAGGAGAACACCTGGGTGACTGAATTTGGATGTTTCCACACATTAGGCACATTTGGATCAAGATATCGAGTGACTGGGAGAGAGCAAACTGGAAAGAAAAAAAAATAACAGAGTGTTCAAAACATTATATATAGTTTCTAAAAGAAGAAGCCTTGAACGTTTGTATCAAGAACAAGGTCAAGTAAACACAAAGTTTGTTTTCTCAGTCATCCAGGTATATAACAACAAAAAAGGTTGAATCATGTCATCTGGACTTCGTTTTTTTTGTTAAAAAAGAAACGTTTCGCCCCTCATCCAAGAGGCTTCGTCAGTCTGAGGCCTAGCCATCTGGTCAAGTAAAGTTGTACGACAAAACTGATCAAACGGATTTGGAAAACTTAAATGCACCACTGATCAAAATGGGCTGATGAAGTAAAACAATGAGTTTGGGAACAATAAAGCCTGGCTGGTGACAAAAGCAAAAGGAAAAACAGGCTGGAAAAAACTGTTCTCTTAGATGGATCAATCTCAGATTAGCCAATCTGTTAGAAAATAAGAGCTAGATTTTTTAGGTTTAATGAAGCTGAACAGATCAGCACCTTCAGGTGAGCTCAGCTGGAGCCACGAGTGTCTTTAGTGACACCTCAGTGACTGATATCAGTACGAGTCGCACTTTACTGACAATCTTCAAGCACTCCTTGTGAAACTTTGCCTGTTTGTGTTTATTTGTTGTGTGTTAGCAAAATATCTCAAAACCAGTGGAGGAGTTTTAATGACAAGCACTCATCGAATGTACATCTGAAACTGATTAACTTTTAAGTCCACTTCAAAATGGTCACGCTGGAACATTCTTCAACCGTTGCCGATCGATGTGAGTCAGTTTGACCAAGACTGAGCTAAAGTTTAGCGTGGTAGTAGCTGAAAGACATTCCCAACACATACTCAGAGCATTAACAGGTTTTATGTGTGGTACAGTGCACGTCGTTTGGCTTCTCAACATGAGATGATAGTCTACATCTCTGGCACAGAAAGCAGGAGGCAATATGCATTCCTTCAAGGAATACTTGGCCTTTAGTTGATTTCTGTTTTATAATCAAGATCTGCCTACGGCTGCACCTAAACACTGACAGCAGTTTATTTATGCAGATGAGTAAAGTGTGTTGTTTTAACTGATAATTGTTACTTTCCATGGATGGGTGTAGGCGAGTTCTGTGCTCAGACAATGTTTAGGTTCTGAGTTGTGGACGCTGGATCCTGTTTAACTTCAGCTACATTTGGAAATCCGCGTTGTCCCTCACATTGATCATTTTAAATCACTGGTTTATAATCCTAACTGAGCAGATTATCTGTATTTATTGTTAGTTTTTGATTTATTATTTGCTCTGTTCAACTCTGTTGAATGTTTTTAAATGTGCATTAAATATAAAAAATGCTCTATTTCTTGCTTTTTAATGAAAAAAAAAATTACATTGGACCAATTTGTGCACATAGTTCGGCAGAATCAGGATCCAAAGTGAAAGAACAGATTTTCCACTGAGGTCTTTGTGCTTTCTTCATTTGCACAAGCCAGGCAACATAAGCAACCACTGTAACATTAATTTAAAAAAGTATATGAGCTACCACAAAAGTAGACACAATGCACACCCAGTGAATTAAAACGTTGTCTCATAACTGTTTAGTTTGAGCTTCTAGTTGTTGTTACATAACTTAAAAGTTCAAACTCGCTCCCACAAGATTTGTGACATCATGACAGATTTTGCTCTGAGGAAACAAACACATTCTTATAAGAGGGAAGAAGGTGGAAGCTCACATCAAAGTTTTGAAAGTATGCCTGAATGGTTCCGTAAAGTTACCAAACTAAAATCCTGGTAATGAAGCGCAACCACAATAAAAGGTAACAGAAAGAAACACAAGCAGCAAGATGACAAATGAGCCTTTTTCCAATCCAGCGTGCATTCTTGCATACTAACAGAGAAAGTGAGCTTGTGCTTAAAATGATGCCTCTATTTCAGTGTAAAGAAACGATTTTAATGGTAAAATACAATTACATTTTCTTAAGCTCCATCCATTATCTTTACACACTTAATTAGCATAAAGTACATCAAATGAGCTGCTTTTCTGTGTTAAGTTTGGATTATTTTAAACCTATTGTGTTATTCTTTCTATTATTTTCATTGTGGTTGGATTTGTCAAAGCAGCGATTTTCATCTTAATTACAACACACCCCTTTGTGCTTGTATTTGGACGGCAATTAGTGCATTCTGTTTATATAAATATTACAAATACGTATAAGACGTGGTGCTGAAAAATCCTCTGTGATGGTTGTTTTTATATTACAACTAGCAGTCAAAAAGTCTTCAGGAGTGAAAGTGATTCCTAAACTGCTGGATAGGTTTTTATCACATGCTTTTATCGTACAGTTTTTATCAAAGTAGAAACGGGGCGGGGTTCTCTTACACTCGTCACAAAATATCTCATGGGAAACTACAAGGTATGTTTATGTACAACTTCATCTCCCATCAATTAAAGTCCCCTGAAAGGAATAAGGTTATTCTGCAATAAATACATTAAAAAATTGTATCACATGATTAGATTAACACATAATGACTCCAAAAGATATCACAAACATGACAAACGCATCCTAATATATTTGATGCTTTCAAGCGGTCCCTCCGCTCCACGTTGAACTTGTTATCCATTACATCATCAGGTTTGACAGCACTAAAACTTCCTCTAACACCGGTCTAGTCTCAGCACTCATCCTTCAGGTCATAGAGATGAAAACACTTCCTGATCATCAGCAGGTTCTTCAGCAGCAGCCTCCGTGCTCCACGTCAGGAGAGTCTCACCATCATCATCCAGTTGTTCTGTCGTGGTAATATTCACGAAAAGAACCACAGAAGTGCTTCCACTTCCTGTTCACATTGATCTGGACTCTTCTGCATTCATTAATGGCCTGTACTTGTGGTGGTGGGGGGACACTCAGACGGATTCTGTCTCAGGGGGTGCACACGTTGAGTAAGCTGGAGGGACAGGGCTGGGTTTGATGGCTCTGCTCTTCATGTAGGAGATCAGCTGCTCAGGGATTTCCGCCAGAACGTCTTTAGCTAGCCGCGCCATGCTGAGCACGTGGTTACCGGTGCGGTCCATGTAGTCTCTGAACGGTACAAACTGTTGTGACACAGGAAGGAAAGAGATCAATACCTTCAAGTCACACACAGTTCTGTTCTGCAGGCCATACTGTGACTGGTTAATGGTAATGCATGATGTTAAATCTTTCCCAGCATCTCTTTTTGCCTCTCAGGCCAGTATGCACATCGTTTGCTTTACTTTTTTTGCTGAAATTAAATTAGGATTTATAACTTTACTGAACCTAGATGAGCCAGCGGCATTTGACCAGGTCTTACCATCAAAAGTTCTACTTTTAGGCTGATATGAATAAAATGAGAAGATCTGTGTACATTCTTGGTAATTCCTCATGTTAACACTGTTTCCATATATTTAGATAATGATACTTAACAACTTGGTCTAAAAACTTAAATTACATCAAGATAAACTCACAATCACTTTTTTGCAGGAAAATGTTTATTTGATTGAATAAATAATATTATAAGACATCTTGTTCTTTAACTTTTTGCACAAGTTTAAACAGAAACTGAGTTTGACAACACAAACTGAATTTCTCAGGCTGTTGTCTCGCAGTAAAAGAAAACAATGAATAAAATGAATAAGCTCTGGTTTCCAAGTGTGTTAAAGATCACCAATGCACAAATCATCAATATTCATTATAAGTATTCAGTTAAACCCAGTGATCTTAAAGAAAAGGAAATAGAGCTTGAACTTTAAAGTAGCTAAAACATCACATTTACTTTTTCCAGAAGTTTGATGGTTACTGAAAGTCTTAACACATGATCATATGTTATAGTCCTCTTTAATATAAACTGTATTTTTAATTAAAACTAAACATAAAATGTCAAATTAATGTTCATTCATTACTAGCTGTAAATCCTTAAGCTTATCTACAATTTTAAAACTTAAACTAAGCTTCAGAATAATAGGTTTCAACCAAAGACAATATTCAACTGTCTGTGTTTAAGGTTGCATTTATGTTTAAAAAATATATATGTTCAAAGAAAGTTACATTTGCTAAAAAAAAAAAATAAATCTTTATCTTTAAAAGAAATGTACTGTATATCTTAATAAAGTAAATCTTTGCCCCAGTTTCTAAACATTTGTATCTAAAGTGTGAATAGAGAAAGATGTTCTTAAATGTAATTCTGAATCATTCAGGTTAGATAAATAGGAGCTTAAAAAGAAGAAATCCAATTTCTTCCACCTCGAGCTGTTTAGTGCAGACTGTCAGGTAAAATAAAATGTCATGACATCAGGCTCAGGAATTTGACAGAACATGTAAAGCTATGCTCACAGATGGAAAAATGATCATTTCTTTTTGTTGAACCTTCATTAAATATTGAATGTGAGAAATGTTTTACCTGTACAATGTCTCTTTCTGCCAGTTTTCCCCTGGAGGAGATTCTGACGTCATCACCGTCCAGTTCAACCATGGCTAAAGAGAGAAAACGTCTCAGTGACAAACCTTCTTAATGGGGCTTTGGCATCTAATTGCTTACTTAAGACGCTAATGAGGCCAAACACATGTTCATACTGTGAACTGATGTCCCTTTATAAATTGGTTTAATAATAACATATTCAAAACAGTGAGACAACAGACTTGTTTAATTGATTTTCCTAACAGTAAAACCTTTGTTAAGGATCCTCACCATCAAACTCAGCTTGGCCCACTCCAACTATGATGATGGACATGGGAAGTTTGGCTGCCTGTCATAAGAAAGAACCAGCAGTCAGTCAGATTAGAGGAGTTACATTCCCATGTGTGCCGTTTTCTCCTTCGTTCTTGCCTGCAAAGTTAACATTTTAAACAGCAAGCTTGATTTCCCTGAGAGTCACAGAATAAAAACAATACAGGGAAGAAAAATAGGAATAGGACAATTATGCATAACAGAATGTGTTTCTTGACTGTTTCACATCTCATTATGTCGCAGTTTGTTTTGTCCAGGGTGTTCAGAAAACACAACATCCATTATTCAACTCAGGCAGATATAAATCCTGCATATAACTGATTATTTTAACTAACCACTATACACATTGTCCAGTTTACGCTTCCCGCTACCAATATAGATGGTCCTATTTAAAGCTGGAGCAGAACATGCTGTTATAATCAAAACATGCCAAACAAATTCCAACAGTGCTTATTATATTTGTCAGAGTCGGCGCTCTGCAGAGTATGAGAGTTTAAATCTGGCGTTTGGAGCTGCAGTTCAGCTCTGATTGTGTCTCATACTCAAATGTTTTTTTTTACAAGGAAATGTGAGCAATATATGCAAGAGAGGTCAAAAACTAAAGTGACTAAGATATATAATATATCGTTTAGATGAAAGGTGGAAAAAGTCAGAAAATACATTTAAGGAGTTTAAACTTTAATCTGAAAATAAATTGTGTTCCAAGTAGGATTCTGGTGTTCGTCGGATTGACAGAAGGAGACAGGTTTTACACTGCTGCGACACGTGTAAGGTTAATGCTTCACATACATAACTTACATTACCTCTTTATAACGTTAAGATATAAAAACAAAGTTTCAACACTCATCATCAAAAACGCTTTTTGACCTGTGTATTTAAAGATTTGGTTCAAACCTGAAGTGTTTTTTTTTTCTGAAGGAACTGAGTAGTTAATGTCAGCCTCTGTTGAAAAAAATGGTTTATTCTGACCAGATTGATGATCTAAAGGGAAGCCGGAGTCCTTAGCTCATCAATCAGAATTAAGCTTTTTTCTCCAAATTTAGGACGTTCAAAAGCTATCTACAACAGGTAGAATATTTATTGCTCCGGTTCTTCCCAAAAAATCCTGCTTCAAAGGATTAGAACTATTCATTTAACTCAAGCCAGCACAAATATTAAATGTGGTTCATAATAAGTTTAAGAATCGTCTTCTGAACAGCTTGTGGTGTAGATGCTGTGCCACATGACCCTAAACCACAGCACCGATGCACAAAATATGGAAGCCCAAGCATAAATGAGTGAATATGTGCTAGACATGCTTTTACAGGGTAAAAAGTAGGTCAGCTTTCCTGGAAAATCCTCCCACAGGGAAAAGTCTGTTACAGATGGGAGTAAATAGACTTGAGAGGACCACCCCCTTCATGGTCTTTATCAATTTCCCCCTCCAACTCCTTCCCCTTTTATCTTCTTCTCCACGACCTCTTCCTGAGGCAAATATATATATATATATATATATATATATATATATATATCATATTCAGATTGCCCCTCTTCCAGCAGTCCAAATCCCACACGCACGTACAGTACCTATAAATGCCAGATCAAATCCTGCTACCAGAGCTGAATTATTCAGGCTACACTATTTGTTACTTTGCTCGTAGTGTAAGTCACTCAGGGGACCTCACTCCGTCCATGTGTCTGAACTCAAACAGCAGAAAACAACGACAGTCTGAAAAGACACCTCTGATGATGGTTTAGCCAACATTAAGGAAACATTTTGTACGTTTGACCCTCCGACCACAAACAAAAAGACAGTTTTTCACTGCATGCAGGTGGAAGATAACAGTTTGTATTCTCAGTGGTTTTCGTTTCTGAAATAAATAAATTATAAGTTTACGGGCAATGCTAGATACAGTATATGTGTAATGACTAAACTAAAGTAACCATGTCTGCTTGAGGACAATGGTCTGACCCAAACCAGTGAACAATCTTATTATGGTTGAAGTACAGTGTGGATAAAGAAAGTGTTGATTTCAACAAACTCTCATAAATATAGTGGATTATTTTAATATATATATATTTTTTAATCATTTCAAAATCAATCTTTTTTTTATTTATTTATTTATTTTAATCTGTCCAGAGGACCTGACTTAACTTTGTTAGATTTTTCTACCTGGATTATTGAGCATGCATCAGGAAACTTTGTTGATTTTTTTTAAATCAATTAAAACAATAATAACAACAAATTTCTCACTACATCTTACATCTTAAGTATATCATTTAATTATCTGATTCCTATTAAACTCATTCTGACCAAAAAATAAAAGTCCTGTAAATGGACCACAAACTTACAATTTTTTATGGATTTCATTGTTACTGGTAAAAATACTTTTCCATTCAGACAACAAATGGCCAACTGCAGAGCTTTTAAAATTAATTAATTAATTTAATCTAATACTGTAATAATAGTAATAATAATAATCTATAATTTTGTCTTCTAATTCAAAGTGATAGTCTTATTTGGAATCCTAAAATCAAAACTGGAGCTTAAAGAAACATTAAAATAAAAATAGTACTTCAGGTTTTCTTCACCCTGAAGTTGTTCTGTTCAAGCTGTATAAGTGGCTGAAAGCTAAGCTGCAGTGTTTGGGGGATAATCAGAAAAAAACAGTTTATTACTGATAAGCCATTAGTAGAAGTAGTAAAATTACAAGCCAATATCTGCTTTATGCAATTTTTAGTAAAAGCTCTGAAGTAGCACAGCACAAAGCCAAATTGCAGACATTAGTGTTGCAAAGAACTTTTTGTTCGTATTCCTTCTCTACAGAGCAAAGGCTGAATGTGACGTAAAAAGAAGAACATCCAGGCTTTGACTCTCTGAAGGCAGAAGAGGAAACTCTGGTCCTGAGCGGCAGCAGAGTTCATGTTGAGCAGAGCAGCAGACAAGATCTTAAAAGGAAGGTGTGGCTGTTCGAATGGTTTGATTAACAGTCGCAAATTCCCTTTAAACCCAGTCTGCTGGGGGTCAGAGCAGAGATGCTGTGGGGGGTGGGGGTTACCTGGTCAACGACAAGCCTTAAATCTGCACGCTCACATGTTGTCAAGACACAGCAAACAAACTGCATGAAGAAATAAACACACGGCTTGCTCTCTGAAAGGTGACCTAATCAGTACACCTTTATTAAACTTAGCATGTTGAACAAAGCTGCTGCCTGAGGGAGGAGAAAGATTTAGAGAAATATTGGACAAAGCATAAAAGCACAGGGAGAAATACAAGAAAACACATGTAAATCCGCAAAGTGGCTTATAAATTCACAAAGTACAGCAGATTAAAAAAAATAAATAAATCAGAGTCACAGTAAAATAAAATCTCCTGAAACACTAACATCCCCACACACTTACGTTCACAATGGCCTCCTTGGTCTGAGCCATGTCTGAGATGACTCCATCAGTGATGATGAGCAGGACGAAGTACTGGGATCCATCCTGAACTGCTTCTGCATACCTGAGAAAAAACAAAGTCGGACGTGTTAGTTACATGAAACTTTTAGGCTGGCGTTAAACAACCAGAATAAAGTGTGTCACAGATTATTTTAAAACATGATCTTCTGAGTGAGCGACTGAAGAGCGTAATATAAACATGTAAAAAGCTAAAATATGTCATATAGCTTTTTAAATCTCAAAGGTCTATCCAGACACTATTGCAAAACCCACCAGAGACACAACAGCGAGCGTGTCCTAGTTTCTCTTGCCCGTTTCTGGCTGCCCTATGAATAATTTATTAAACTATTTATGCAAGTGCAGCGGTGTTGTTTTTTCAGAACATTATTGATTGCCTAGTACTCATTTGACCAGACTTGATGAGCCAGGAGAGGGCAGAGCAAAAACAAACAAAATACAAAGTGGATTATTGCCAGATCCAAGGACAGGTCAAAGGTCAGCCCTCCACCCTCGCCACCAGTTTGATGAATTTGACTACGAGATGCTGACATTTTAATCAAAGGGCGTGCGTGTCAGTGACAGCAGCAAGAGCGATGAGCAGTGTTAAGAGATTAAAGAGACATTTGTCCTCTGCAGCTTCTTCATGCAGCCCGAGACATTCAGGGGTATTACCTGAACTGAGTAGCTCCCAAGTCTAACAGATTCCTTCATGTCTGAGAGCTTACAAGGAGCAATTTAAGAGTAGTCACCATTTATCGTCCTTTGTAACATCCATTTTAAACAGCATGTGCCACATGAACACCATTCCAACCACATGAGCTGCAACTTCTCTGTATCATTTTAGTAAAAACAATGGTTTCATTCCTGCTGTGGTCATAACAAAACTATTGGGACTGTAAAGAGTGTGACTTCATAAATACTTTCAATTGCTTCAAACCAACACTATTCACAACTATAATGAGACATTTTATCCCAGTAAGTTCCTTCTGAGACTCTTTTACGCTTGTATTTTTATGCTTGAAATATACTAACTGGTCCTTCAGGGAGTTTTCTTCTTGCAAGGTTTCGGGTGGACAAGATTGTGAATTTATTTGCACTGCCAATTGTGCTTTTAGGTTTCTCAGCACTATGCACTTTAAAGTCAATTGTCTGGTTTTTAGCCCAATAACTGGAAAGTTCTGGATAAAATTGCTCTTCTTACTTTGTGTCTCTGGTGGAACAGAAGTTCTTTCATATTTATGAAAAAGCAAATAAGCTTTTAATTCAAGCTGTTTAATTATTACCCATCACTGAGATTAAACTTGTGTTGTTATTATTTTTACATTCTTAATTAGCGAGTAGACTGCTGAATGTAGTCGATTTGAAAACGCTAAAAAGTCCAATCTAAAGTTATAAGTAAAAAGTTGTTAAAAAGGTTTAAAACTAATGGTATTTAATGTCACTGATGGCCTTGAGTATAAGTCTGTCGTCGGCTTAATGCCACAAATATGTTGCAAAATAAATTACTATGTTAAAATTAAAAAAACGGAGTAAAGATGAACAATAAAATTGCAGAAAAATAAAACAGGATCGTTTCTAAGAAAGTGAAAAGCAGATTGGAAACAAATTTTTGTCAAATATTTTATTACACAGGCAACAGGTGAAATATACTTCAATCCCAAATTTAACCAAAATAATGCTTTTTTGTTTTTACTTTTACGTTGACGTTTATTTGATTGCATATGAACCTAATTTTGTTAAATTTTAAACGTTGATTTACAAACAAATTTAAGTAACGGAATATATCCATTTTGTTATGACTTTATTGTTGTCTGTGCCTCATGTGTTGCTTTTTGTCTAAAACAGTTCTCTCTTGTAAGTGAGTCCTCGTGACTCAATAAGACTAACCTGTATAAATAAAGGTTGAATGATAAATATCATTATATCTGCAATGAAACAACAGACACGTAAATGAAGAACTCGCTGCATCTTTTTGTTATTTGCATTGTCCCTAGCTTGTTATTAATGTGGTACTTCTACTTTTACTAGGGTACATTTTTGTCTGTTTCTTTGTACTTTTACTGAAGTACCGTGTTTGAGTACTTTCTCCACTGTCTGTGGGTTTATTTAGGAAACTGTTGTGTAGGAACTTCTCCAACACCATCAGAAACTGAAACCATAACCACTGGTTTTGGGTTGTACATCTGTTAGTACTAATATTTCAAATGTTTCAACCACAGGAGGAAGTTTTTTTGTTTTCGAGCTTCAGTCACGTTTTAAATAGTCTTTTCTGCTCTCTGACACATTGACATTTGTACTGTATCTGTGACTTTGAGCATGTTCTCCATTTACAGTGAGGCTATATCACTGAACAGTGTGACTCATCAGCACTTTGTGAACGGCAACATGACATGAAATCAGTTCCCCTGCAGTTTACGCCGCCTTACGATCACACTTTCATCGCTTTAGATGTCTAAAAATATTGTGGATAGCACTCAAGCGTCTGGCCCCACATACGCCTTATTACCATTTCTTTTCATCTCCGCCTGGCAGCTGACTGTTTGTTTTCCCATCATTAGTTCTGCTCAATTCCAAGAGAAACCGCTGACTTAATGGCTCTGATGGTGTGGAAGCCTGGTGAAGGTTTTTCACAGACATGAAAAGTGACTGTGCTGAGATTTATTCTCTGGGGTAGAGAGTTGTGTTCGTACTTTGCCACGTGATTAACAATGGGAGCGAAGTTGGTGGGTCCATACAGCTGAACTGTCTTAAGGCTTTGGTGATAAGCCTCAAGAATCCCATCTATACCGTTACAGTACGGGTTCTCAACGTTGCCATTCTGAAAGAAACAAAACAAGTGCATTGTTGTATCAAAATGTAATTATCTCAACACATTTTGTTGATGTAAATTGAGGTCATGAACTTTAAACTCCTGGAATTAGCAAATAGATCACCCATTCATGCAAAGCAAGTAATATTTTGTTAACCAAGTCATATTTTATCCATATGCTGAAAGTTGACGCATAAGTTCGGAGCTCATGGTGTTTTTAGTCTGATGTGTGCAGTACAGGTAAAGTATGTTGGACCAGAACTTTTAAAGTTATGTTTAATGTTTCTTTCTCCTCTAATGGCATTAGGATGAATGAACAAAGTAATCAGTATCGTAGAGCTGATCAGAAAATACTCAGACTCTGTTCAACTTCACATTTTGTCCTGTCGCAGCCTCAGAGTAGCATCGCTCAAATTTATTTACCACTTTCAAATCGAAACCTAAATTTCTAATTTTTCTAGTGTTGAGGTTTAATAGTAGCTAATGTAGCAATGTTTTACACATTTCATGAGATGTTTTTTTTATTTAAGCCTTGACAAAGACAAAAAAAAAGCCCCTAAATTTGTAAGTCATTAGCCTAGCATGTAGACCTGCTCGTTTCTCCAGACTTTGACTGTTCTTCCAAAAAACAAACTGTCCAGATGACATGATTTAACTGTTTTGTCACTGGTGTTGCTGTTCAAAGACACCTATTGATAACTACCGTATTTTCCTGCGTATAAGTCACATTTAGTATGCGCTTATTTAATGGTCAAAACAGCTTCATTTCGCCTAGGCCATCCATCCATCCATCCATCCATCGTGGCTGGAGCCGCGAGCTCGCCAACGTTCCTCCGCCTGCACCAGCTGAGTAAAGCGAGCTGGCACGAGAGGACTCGCTGTTGCAGTTTTTCGAAATTTAAAGCGTCAGTCAAAAATTGTGTTATGAATATGAAAAAAAAAACTTATATAAGTCGCTTCAGCTTATAAGTTGCAGGACTGACAAATCTAAGCTAAAAACTGCGACTTATATGGCGGAAAATATGGCAGTTGACAACATCACATTAAAAATGACCAGAATAACCCTTTAAATCTTCATGCTTGTAAGGCACCAAGTTTTCACCAATTCTTCTGTGTAGATCCTCTGTAAGTTCTGTCAGTCTGGACTGGACAGTCTCTCCAGATTAGAAGCAGTTTGCCTCAATAAAAGCTCAGATCAGCCACTCAAGGAGACTCACAATGGACTTTTTGATTTATTTAGTTTGGGCTTAAATATGATTAGATCCACTGTCCAGTTAAAACATAATTTTTTCCTGCAGTCTGAGGTTCTGAGAACTCCAGAGCACTTCATTAGGAATTATCATTTTATTATCCTGATCAGTTTTGCCTGATAAGTTACACTTTTATTTATTTTTTTGTATTTTTGACCGCCTCGCCCATGAGCTCTTTAAACAAACTGAGGAAGAGAATTGATTGATTGTTAAATTAACTGAGAGCATAATCAAAAGCAGAAAAGACTTGACAGAATAATAAGAAGGCCCCTTTTGTTCACTACTAATGAATGATTCAAAATACTGCATATGTTCTTCTGTCAATAATAAATCAAAACATTTTTTAAAATCGTTTGTTTTTTCACTTATGTTCATGCTTAGGGAGAAAAATGAACTATTATCATAAGCTGTGGCAAAATAAGACTTTAATCTCTTCGGCAAACAAGAATTAAACTTGAGCTTTTCAATAGTAGTTCATCTAATATTCTATTAAATACAACTGATGCAGCAATTTGCTCTTTTTGCTCAAATAAGCCAAATTCCTGTATTCTGATGTGCTGCAGGCTTGAGGGCTGAGTGACATTCTGAGGAGGAAAAAAACCACCCCCAGAGATGTGCTTGTCAAACTTTGCTTCAAACGCTGTCTTCCCTGACCAGAAGGCAAATTTTAAACTGAGACAGCATAACAAATATTACACCAAAGAGTGTAACTTTACTTTTGAGTCCACTTACATGATTCCAGCGTGGAAATGTTCAATTATATGGCGAGATGAATCTTAATTAGCAAATTTTAATAGAAGCATGGAGTGATGCAGATGCTACCCTGTAGACATGCTCCTCATTAGGCTGTACTATAGCAGCCTGAGTACATTAGCTGGCTGAGAGAAGCTAAATTGATTTAAGAATCCTTTGGCCCTACAGAACCTAATTTGCACTATAAAGGATAAATGGAATTCCATCTGAATTATGCATGTTAAACGTGTGGCTTCATTTATGCCTAAAATACCTAATCCATAGAGCTCATATAAACATTTTTACCCAAACATGTGGTCTCAGCTTTAGTGTTTGGGCCAAAAGTATCTCCAAACAGTTCACAAGAAGTTAAAGGAAAAGTTTTTTACAGCAATGTTTAAAATAATCTGATAGTTTACTCACCAGTGGGAACTCATGGGATACCCTCCAGTCAGGCGGTAGCTTAGCACCAAATCCCAGGGCAGGGAACATCTTATCACTGTCATAGTCCTGGATGATCTCTCCAACAGCCTTCAGAGCCATGGCATAGGCATTCATCTGATAAGGGTTCATGTAGTGCAGTGAAGTGGACTGCGATGGATTTCCTTTGGAGACAGGAAAACTCAGGGTCAGTGATGCAAACCAGCAGGCTGAGAGGGAAGTGACAGCTGCACGAGGAGAAACAGAGAACGACCCAAAACTAAACAGGACACTTAGAATCAGAGCAGGAACTAAAAAAAAAAGCTGCCGTATATTCAACACTGGGATTGTGCAAATGGCTGGAGTGTGGAAATGTAAAAAATGTAAGCTTATATAAGATGCAGACAATAACTTAAATTCAGTTTGAGCACAGAAAGAACATATTGACTTGCTAACTAAGAAAGAAATGTTGCCATCTGATTCTATTTTCAAAGCAGAATTTACTATCAAGTCTATTTATTTCAGTATTTCAAAAACTTTAAATGCTTTGTTGGTTTGGTTTTTATTTTGCATGTAATACATTTTGTTTAGAAATACTTTTGCTCTGTGTCCAAAATCAAAAGCATTGGATCGTGATGAACATGCAAACACTACAATGAAAAATGCAACAGAACAAAAAAAAAAAAAAAAGAGAGAGAGACAAGATCAGAAGCAGAGAGAAAACTCATAACATCGTCATACATCTGATTATAAATGAGAGCACACGGCGCTCACCGTTTGATGCCGTGAAATCAATGGCCACTGTGAAGTGAATCTGAGTCCTGGAACAGATGAACAAGGAAAATGTTAACAAAAGGGAGGCAGAATAATTCAAATCTGCAGTTTAACGAGGCTCTCTCAGGTTCTCCAAGTGTTTAGTCTTTTATCAGAGGAGAAGTGTGACAAGCACACACCTAAACTCTGTGTTTTTTAAATCCACCTTTATTATCTTTCACAGCCACAGTCATTTATGCTAAACAGCTTCTTGTTGAGCTTTTATTAAAGTCAAATTTCATTGAAAAAAGCTTTTAAAGAGCGTTCTAATTCAAAAACTTACATTATGATTACTGCAAAAAACATTTGTATACTCAAATGTTGCAGGTTCAGAACAAATTAGCAGAAGCAAGAAAAACACAAGCAGATGGAAGAAGCTCTGCTGATCAGTATATTTCCTCTTTTCTGCTGGGTAATTAGGAAAACATATTGATTTATTTAAATAATTGACAAAGTCTGTCTTTAATTAACAGCTGGTCATGGTAAAAACCCTAAAGTTTCAATAATGTTGCTGCAACAAATTAAGGAAACTAAAGATAAGACTTTCAGGACACAAACATTTATGTCTTAAAAAAACAATTAATTTATATTAATTGTTTTTTTAAGACATAAATGTTCAAAAAGTGAATTTCTCGTCAGCCTGTAGATAGTTCATAACATGCCTCACTGGATCTTTGTTCAGCTTGGTTGTTGCATAATGAATAAAAGGTTCTGGTGCCCCACTCACTCCATTAAAGCTCAAATGAAACCTTAGTTTCTAAAAACTGTGGAATATTTTTTATTCATGAGTATAATAATCGCCAGAACCCAGAAAAGAAACTAAACATGGCCTGTTTCCCCAGAGAGACAAATGACGAGTAAAAAGAAGGGGCACTCAGATCAAAGTGTGTGCCCTTTCGTTGTGATTAACACTGATTGCCTCTTCCTGATTCCAGCTCCATTCAGATATTCACACGAGCAGCATCTGAGATAATGGCGGCTTCCTGCCGCAGAGACTGACCTCGGCTCATTAATCAGCATTGAGCTGAAACGCTCAGCTGACAGAGGAGAATTGTTACGTTTGCATGCTGCCTTCATTTGAAAGTCTCTACTGATTTCTGTTGTTGGTTTCAAATGTTTAAGTAAAAAAGCAGAGTGGTGAGATGCAGTTAGGGCTGCAGGAAATTACATAAAGGACACGGGTGATAATTTAGACTGAACGTTGGAGATTAAGTACCAAAATCTGCTGTTATGTCAAGACTCTAACAAGAAAAGCTGCATTATTAGACTTTTTAATTATTTTTCCCCCTGCTTTAACATTCTGCATTTCTTTTGATCATTCTAACCTTAATTTAAAAGTAGCTATAATAAAGTTTTCATAAGATGTCCTGTTCCTAATCCTAATATTGACTGTTTCTCATATCATTTCTCTGATAGATTACAGCTTCATCAAAGTCTTCGATACACTGCAGAGCTAATCACAAAGATCCACAGGGTTCTGTATTTGGACAAATATATTTAGCCTTATACTTCTGCTGTTAGGAAACATCAGAATCAGAATAAGCTTTAATGTCATTACACAGTTAAGTACTGCAAAATTATGTTCCGTACAGCCGTCCTAAAGATGGATGGAGGTGTACAGGGGCTGCATCTTCTAAGAAGCGCTGCCCTTATTGCTTAGATAGAAAAAGGGAAGACACAGAAGGAGAGAGAGGTCTAAAAAATGATCTCTCACACAATGTCCTTAACAGGGCACAGTTTAAGGTATCGAAAAAATCTACCACGGCAAGCAATGTATATAGACACAATACATAAGCATGGACGACAAGACGGTGAGATTTGTCTATGAGCACTTTCAGATAGTTTCCATAGTCCTGATGAGATGTTACAGTGTCTCTCAGCTCGAACAAGTATCTATAGTCCTGATAAGATGTTAGTGTCTCTCAGCTGGTACGACTATCCATAGTTCTGATAAGATGTTACAGGGTCTCTCAGCTGGGACGAGTATCCATAGTCCTGATAAGATGTTAGTGTCTCTCAACTGGTACGAGTATCTATAGTCCTGATAAGATGTTAGTGTATCTCAACTGGTACGAGTATCTATAGTCCTGATAAGATGTTAGTGTCTCTCAGCTGGTATGACTATCCATAGTCCTTATAAGATATTAGTGTCTCTCAGCCGGTACGAGTATCCATAGTCCTGATAAGATGTTACAGTGTCTCTCAGCTGGTAAGAGTAGCCATAGTCCTGATAAGATGTTACAGTGTCTCTCAGCCGGTACGAGTATCTATAGTCCTGATAAGATGTTAGTGTCTCTCAGCTGGTACGAGTATCTATAGTCCTGATAAGATATTGGTGGGGTGTAACGTTTATAGTAACGTATAGTAATATAGTAACGTTTTCCACTGCAGAGCAGCCTCAACTAAACTTAAAAGCCATAAGAAAATAATCAGATAAATTACAAGAAGGAGCTGAAGATCTCTAGAGACATCGTAGCCAACATGGACACGTGTTCCATAAATCTGCAGCAGCAGTTGCTACTTCCTGTTTAAGGCTTTTTGTCTTTTCACATTTTTCAACCAAATGAGTGCCACGCAGAGAAAACATTTAGCTGAGAATAATTTCAAAAAGACACATTTAAACAGTAATTTTAATATCAAGCATGCACAGTTTAAAATGCATGCATTTATAGCCACCAGTCTACAGGGTGGGGGGTGAGGTGGTTATGAATTTGTCGTAGTGTTTTGTTGCGTAAAACAGATCAGATGTCATGGTTATTTTTTTATTTAAAAAGCTAAAAACCCTAAAATGTTTGCGCATTTCGCTACAACTGTACTCAGCTGAATTCTTTAACTTGTAATGCAAAGTGAGGATTTATTTAGAGGCTGAGGAAATTACTTTGAGATTAAGAAATCGATCCAGAATAGTGTTGATGCTGATGCTGCAGCAGAGTTTGTTTTGTTGGTTCATTAGGAAACAACCAGGGACTCATCTGAAGATGCAGCATCAATCACGGTCATCCTCAAATCTATATTTCTGCACTGAATGTTTGATAGTTATTTATTTATTTGGTTATATTTCTTCTTTTCTTTTTCCTTAGATTTTTTTAAAGCTTTCTTCTTTCAGTGCTTTGCTCAAATGGCAAATTAATGTACCATCATTATTTCTTATAATTGGCCAGGAGTTATTACATCTGACATCAGCCTTTGAATGATCTTACAATCAGATCTCCATTTTGTTCTGCGCTAAAATTACAACTCTCAAACCAGTTTTTGTGTCACATTCAATTAGTTTAACAGATACTGAAAGAATACGAACAAATGTTGAAGTGGCACGTTGACTTTCTCCAGTTAGAAAAAACACAAGGTTTTGAAAGTTGACCTTTTTGATGCAGTGTCTAAATTTTCAGCACACACACTTACAGATTGTGTATCCTACCCCACAGTTAAAAAATAAAAATTAACTAATTAAAAGCCCAGTCGTTTGAATTATCAAGAAAAAGTTAAATGAACCAGTTTATATTCAGTTTTTCTGTATCATAAATTTTCAGTGGAATGAGCGTATATGACAAACAAAAGGTAAACTGTTTTTATTTACATTGTTTATTCTGTAATTACTTCATTCACATTTGAGTTTCTGTATTTTCCTGCAGTGCACAGAGTTTATTATTTGTAGACTGTAAAAACTGTCTGAAAACTAAAGTGAGACTTTTAGCCACTCAAACTCCGTTTTAACAACCGTTAGATGCTGAAACTGATGAGGCCCCAAATGGTCATGACTGTTTCTATTCTTGGGCCAGTCTGAGTTTCTGGTTCCTCGGAGAAAACCGAACACAGCGGCGTTTTGTGCTGATGCAAAGTGAAGTGTTCTGCCTCTCCTTTCAGCTAATCTGAACATGAATCTAACAACTGCGGCACCATCTCAGAACAAAACAGCAGGTACCGTAAAACTGAGAAGGTCAGCACACATAACTACTCCTATTTTATTTATTTATTTTATTTTTGTACAAGGCAAAAATCATGATGCACGCATTACAATATAACCTCATGGGAAAAGGACAAAAATGTCAGAGTTTAGGAGAGGCTCCACTTTTTCATTATGGTGCATACAGACTGCAAAGCTGGCCTATATGAAATATTAAAAATAAAAAACAAATATTGTCACTTTATCCATTTCAGATAGTTTGAAATGGAGCGATTGAACCTTAAAATGATCCTGACACAATAGTGCCATTACACGGCTGATTCAGCTCCAAATTAAATTTAAAATGAATATAAATCTTTCATTAGCCTCTCTGAATCGGAGCACTGTATGGCTTTTGGACTTTAATTATCTCTATTTGACTATATCTCTGCACCAATTGAAGGTTAATGAAAAAGACTTCCATTTCAGTAAAACTGGTCATAGTCCAATGGTGGGTCTAAAAAAGGAAAATTGCCTTTTCCTCCCCGCTTTTAAGAAACCATCTAAAATGCAGTGTGTTAGCTCTCACCTGCCAGAGATGGAGCAGTAAAGCAAAATCGTATGAAAGGAAAGAAATCAATAGCAGAGATCTAAAATATCAACACGGGTCTTAAATCTGCTTTATACAGCCTGCTGCTCAGGCTCCTTTTCAGATTTCCCATCATCTGCCTGAATAACGCTGTTGTCAGGCACCTGAGTACATTTTGTTGTTTTTGGTTCTTTTATTTATTTGCCGGAGGTGAAAAGAAGTCATTCCTTTCACCCGGTAAGCACAGATCTCATATCAAACTTAGCAATCCACAAGACAAAGTGCACGTACGAAACATTTCTTCGTGCCAAAGCCATGAATTATAAACAATGTGTTGGTGCATATTTGGGTGCAAACGATTTAAACAAGAGCAGAATCAAATATGAATCTGATTTAGGAATGTTCTTTAAAAAAAAGAAACAATTTATTGTGTATGGGGGGACTTGCTACCATCACAAAGATAACAACATATATTAGAATGTAGTCACATTTATTATAGCTGATATATTTTTTATGATGTGTTCAATATTTGTGAA